AAGTGTGCAGCTGTTTTTTCTCTGCCTATCCTGCATCTAGGTCGATACTTCTGGAGGTTACCAGCTCTCGCCCCTCCTTAAGAAGTCTAGGCTTTTCCATTGACACCACCTGCAAACCGCAGTGCCGGGACCCTTGAAGGGCTTTACACGGTGTTCCTTTACACTGTGCTTTGTGCTTGAGCAACAAAAGGAAGCCTGACGGGACGAGAGTGTGGATGGGGAAAGGTTTCCCAACAAAATAATCAGCGACATCCCTGGCTGCCCATGAAGAATGAACAAGTCTGTCTGACTGGAAAAAGTTCCCCAGCAAACAATTCCAGGCCCTTCTTGGCACCAACGCGGTTGCCAATTGTCCTAAAGCTTTTTTTTTTTTTTTTTTTTGTCCTAAAGCTTTTTCATAATAAGCCCTCACGATTGTCCCGCGTTCTTTGAGAACATTGATAAGGATTTCTCCTTGGAAATCCCCCCTAAAGCAGTTGTATTAACCCTTTGAGCCGGCCTCTCTCCTTTGACTTCATCTCTGACGTCTTCCCAGCCTATCTCAACAGGCTTCATGCCGTCAACAACGGTTGTTCTATGGGGACCAGCATTCCTGTTCCCTTGTTGCAAGGCTTCATGGATTTTGGAAGATACCCACTGGAGTTTTTTAAACATTTGATATTAACCTGAAAGCCAGCAGAAGAGCTTCTCTTTCCTCACATCCCGTTTTTCTAAGTTTTTGCCAGCCCGATGGACCCTGTCATCTGGCTGACTGTTGGTGACCTGCCTTGCGAATGGACATCTTTTTATTTTCAGTTGTCAGCCATCGATCTCAGGTTGGGTGGTGCAAGTACTTAATCAGGTTCTGACTCATTTGACATTCCTCTTTCATGAGTTGCTTTCTCGTACGTGTTGCATGTTCCCTATTGCCTTTCCTGTTTGTTGGGCCTGATTCGTCCACACGTCTTGTACATTCTGAACCCTGATCCTGTGTGGTGCTGGGTATCGCTCATGCCTTCTCCCAGTCTGGCACCTCTCTGCCATCTGGGCCTATCATGTCCTTACTGAATAGGAATGCTTCCTTTTAAAAGAAGGGACGAAACATGGTTTGCTTTGTCCTTTCATTAAGAAATCTTTTCTTCTTCAAAACGTGCAAACTATTATTTCATATTTTCTCCTACTAACCTTGAAGTCCTACCCTTCATAGCTAAGTCTTTCATTCATTTGGTTTTATTTTAAAAAGAAAGCACCTGTGATAGGTAGGTTTATTGGGCCCACATGGCCAATGAACACACGTGGGGCTAATTGAAGGGTGGAGAGATAAATGGTTCGGCGAGTCTCACCTTTCTTGTCTCTTGCTCTTTGATGATTGGACCCGTGTGCAGCTGCCTTAGCTTGTTCTCTGCCTCAATTTGCAAGCTACACTACCTGTGGGACACCTAACCCGTGGACTGTGTTGCTGTAGTTTGAGGTTCCTTCAAGACCTGCTTCTCCATGCTACTGGAGAATACATCGCTTGAGCTGGGGACTGTCGGACCCTGTCATCTGGCTGACTGTTGGTGACCTGCCTTGCTGTTTGCTGCCTGTGGCCAGCTACCTGAATTGCTCTATAGAGGACTACCCAGCATCCCTCAAGAATTAAAGGACTGCCAGTGTATTAACTGTCTCATGGAAGTAAGTTGCACTGAGCCAATTGTACTGCTTTATAGATTGTTTATTTCTTGTTATATATCTATCTATAGAAATACATATAAAATCATTAGTGTCCTGGTTTTGTTCTCTAGAGAACCCTAACAAAGTACCCGAGATAAACTTTCAAGTCTTCTTTTCCTACATATGGTTAGCCAATAATCCTAACTCTACCAATTTACTGTTGGCCCAATTTATTGGGTGTTGTAGTCCGGAGAGACTAGAGAAACAAATCCATAGAAACTCATGTGTATAAGACAGAGTCTTATATAAAGGGCAATTGTACATTAAGAAAGCATCCCAACCCAGTCCAGTCCAAGCCCACAAGTCCGATATTAGCCTGTATGTCCGATACCAATCTATAAAGTCCTCACAAAACATATGCAATGACCCCAAATGCAGGACGATCGCAGGCCAGTGGGTAGAAAGTCTTTGGATCCAGTGACATTGTCAGCACTGGCAGGGGTCTCCATGGGCTTCTCCAGCTTCCAGAGCTGAATCAGGGTAGGTCCATGTGGCTTCTCCTCAGGGATGTTGCACAGGAAGTCAGCAGAGAGAGAGTGTCTCCCATCGCCAAAGAGGAAGTACAGGAATTCCTAGAATCCTCAGGGGAAGGCTATGCCCACAGACAGGCCACAATGGCTATAACCTGATTGACAGACTAGACTCCACCCCTTCACTCTTAATCCTCTCGGTTCCCGAGTTGCCTCCGGGTAGGTCCATGTGGCTTCTCCTCAGGGATGTTGCACAGGAAGTCAGCAGAGAGAGAGTGTCTCCCATCTCCAAAGAGGAAGTACAGGAATTCCTAGAATCCTCAGGGGAAGGCTATGCCCATAGACAGGCCACAATGGCTATAACCTGATTGACAGACTAGACTCCACCCCTTCACTCTTAATCCTCTCAGGTCCCAAATTGACACCAGCTTTTGTAACTACCACATCGGGATGCCATGTCAGCATCCATTAGTTTCCATCTAGAGCCAGTCTGCTTCTGGGCCTTTGATTCTGGTTCTGGGAACTATGTGTTGATACCTGTATCACTACAACACCGTATCTGTTACAATGGCTTTGTAATCTGACCACCTTTGGTAGGCTAGTTCTCCTCACTATTCATTTTGCAAACTTTCCCTAGAGATACATGTAATTTTCTTCTTCCATGCAAATTCTACAATTTGCTAGTTGATGATGGTGCCGTTGAGTTGGTTTGGACTGATAACACCTCTACGTCCCAAAGAACGAAACACTTGAAACACCGCGTCGTCCTGAGTCATCCTCACAGTTGTTCTTCTGTGGGAGCCCACAGCTGCACTCACTGTGCCCTTCTATCTTGTCCAGGGTCTTCCTCGTCTGCACTGCCCCTCGACAATACCAAGCAGGATGTCCTTCTCCAGGGACTGGTCTCCCCTGACGACATGTCCAAAGTTTGTGAGACAAAGCACATTCTGGCTCCGTTAGCTAGTTCCTCATAATCTGGAAGCGGGGTTTTGATTGGAATGCCACTAACTTTATAGATTCACTTTGGGGACGCTCAGTCTTGGTACATTCTGCTCAATGAGTCTGAATACGCTCGATGGCAGAGTTGGTGTGTCTTTTCCTCAACCCATGAGCATAGAATATCCCTTTATTTCGATCTCCTTTACTGGTTCTAATAGAACTTTACATTTTTCTTGGTGAAGAGCTCGTGAGTTCCTTGTTAGGCTCATTAGTAGGCTCTGTGCATCTATTGTAAATGGAACTTTAATTATTCTGTTTTCTTATTAGCTTGTTGTTTGTCTTTGTTTTTTTTCAATCCAAACTATTGGGACTCGCAACAACTACAGCTCCCTCTACCAAATTGTGGAAAGGAAGTCAACCACTTCTCCAACCTTCGTTCTTATTCTCCTCAGCTGCCCTATCACAGGCCACGGAAAAAACCCTTTGCTGCAAAATGGAAACTTTAGGCCAGAAGGGGTGCCAGATAGGGCCTCTTCCTTGACACGGTGCCATTGGGGGCTGGAATGTGTCTCCTACGTGGCCTGTGATTTTGAAACCGTGCAGAACATCAGAGCTTATAGGGTGTATAAGCCCTGGGAGGGGTTGAAGAGAGTGGCAGGAACCTTCCAAAATATTTCCCTCAGTAGGGGCTGAAGGTGTTTCTTTTATCTAAGGGTCCTTTGGGCCCACGTTCACTTGGTTCCCAGGTCTGTGTGCCCAACCGCATCAAGAAGCGCCTGGGAGCACTGGGGAGGCAGGCTGCATGGATAACTCAAGATTGCTTCGGTTAGTGCAAGAAAGCACGAGGTTATTTGGGGGATCAGCATGCATCTGCCATCATTTAGTCATGAAGAATGAAGAGAAGGATGTTGACAGCCTGGGTTACAGTCTCAAATGCCAGTGCAATAATCCTAAAACCCACTGTCCTTGAGTCAATTCTGACTCATTCCAAAACCACAGGCTCCCGCCAGGGAATCAATTCCCTTTAGGACAGCCCAGAACCGCCCTGGTGGGATCCAAGACTGCAAACCTTTCCAGGGATAGAAGCTCATCTCTCTCCTCTGGATTGGCCGGTGAATTTGAATGGCTGACCTTGTGATCAGCAGCCCTTATGTAATCCACTCACTCCACCAGGACTCCTTTACGGTTTCTGAGGCTCGGCATTAATCCTTGTTCGATAACTTTTTTGTAAATCTTTACGGGAGCAGAGAGCCTCATTTTCTCCTGGGAAGGGGCTAGTGGGTTTGAGCCACCAATGTTGTGGTTCGTGGTCCAGTGCTTACCTGACAGCAACGCCAGGGCTCCTTCATGGAGAGGGAGAGTGGGTAGGGTTGGAATAAAATCGACAGGGGCAGGTGGGCAGCTGGGTACATTAGAAAGCACAGCCTGTGGCTAGAGTCTTCCTTTGGCAGGGTTCATGAGCTGGGCAGCTGTGGGGCTGGAATTTGAACTCTGGACTTTCAGGCTCCAAAGCCTAGCTCTTTCTTAATCAGAAAGGGCAATCTGCTGCAGTAAGAAAACAAGCAAAGGAAAACCCAAACCCAAACTACAAAGCAGCGCGAAATAGATGAGAGAAAGACGATGGAATAAGGCCCTAACTGCTGTGTATATGATATGCTTCTGGGGCAGCAAGCAGCCCACGAGTAACGGCTGATACTAGGCAGCACCACCGGGGCCAGACCCCTTACTCCGGACCCCTTGGCAGCCACAAAGGCTAATCTCTGTCCAGAAAGAGTGCTTTTAAAATGGAGTCTGCCCTGACTGCATGGCAGTGATTGAGAAGGAGACTGTGCAGACCTTGGGAGCCTTGTGTGACACCCACAGTAACCACGGCGGAGCAAAGAGGATACTTCCCAGTCATCAAGTGTATAAAAATAATTTTATTTACTACTGTAAATAAAGTAGTGCAAAGAGTAGTTGGGACCCACAATATTGCATTACCGATTTATGTACTACTCTAGCAGCGTCCAGTGTCGACATACCTGTTCTTCACGCACTCACACACACACCCCTGTTCAGACCTGTGAAAACGCCAAACTCGGGCAGGTGGGGGAGGGTGGGCGGGAGGGGACTAGGAGCTAAAGGCTGCTTTAATGCATTCCCCTTAGCTGCCACTCTAGTCTAACGGGCAATGTTGGAGAAATGACAAGATGTCAATACTAAGACTTTTTCTAAAATGTTATCTGAAGGGTTGGGATCAGAAAGTAAACCAGACCCAACGCGGCCACTCGATCATGAATCAGATTCCGGGAGAGAAACGTAAACCATTTCAGGGAGCCAGCGCCTACCCAGCATGGCATGTTGGGCCAGGGGCCTTGGAGTCGAAGTGAAATCTAGCCTTTGTGCTTGGGGGGGCTGAGGCCAGCACCGCCACCCAGATATCGCCTCTACCTTGCTGAGAAATCACAGCTTTCCGCTCTCTAATACAAAAGGCATGAGTGAGGGGCTCACGATTCTGGAAATGCATCTTGGTGTGAAAAGGTCATGTGGAAGGACGAACGGACAGAACTCCGCGCACAGCGGCCAAGAGTCGGCGATGCTCCTCACGCCTGCCTGGGCGGTCAGGACGCGCCCGTGCCCGCTGGAGACCCTCTGGTACAGCTGCCGTCTGTCTGCTCCGGGGACTTTCTGGCCATTTGATGGAGAAAAGAAAAACTGAAAAATGACACCGCGGGCCACATTTGCGTCAAGTTGACACGCTTTAAGGAGTTTTATCAGTGGGATGTCCTGGCCTCAGATTCCCAGTACCAGCTGTTGAGAGGGTGCCCTCCCTTCTGGAGAAACCCGGAGTGCACAGTTCACCCCCGAGGCTCCGGGTTGCTGGTGCCCAGGGGCTGGCCGGGGTCCGAAGCGTCTGCAGCTGGAGGTGAAGCTGGACTTGAAGTGGAAGCAGTAGCGTCGGGAGTGACTTGGACTGGTGTCTGCGAGGAGCTGCTAGCTGCAGAGACAAAATGGGTGCTGGATACTTAGAATGAGGCTCAACGCCGCCTCCCCTCCCCCATCCCCTCCTAGATCCTAGCAGCGGAGGCTAGCTCCTATACTGGTGGCTTTCACACCAACCAGACAAGTCACACTGGATCCAGCCTCAAGCTTCTTTGGGCTTAGGCGTCCCCTTCTGTAGGATGGCAGGTGGGCCTAGATGTGCCAAGACCCCCGGCCAGTCACAGATGAGATGCCCTCTGAACCTGTAAATTACTGCATCTAAGCTGTCACTTACAGCTAGTATCTCAAACTTACTTGGCCTGTCGACCCCTTTCCTGCAAAAAAAAAAATTTTTACTCAATGGCCATCATCCAGGATAAAGATCTACTTTTGGAGAGGAGCTCTGGTAGCTTAGTGGTTACTCGTGGGGATGCAATCCGAAAGATCAGTAGTTCAAAACTGCAGGAGAAAGATGGGGCTTCCTACTCCCATAAACAGTTAGCGTCTCCGAACGCCCAGGAGTTCTACCTGCCCTATAGGGTGGCTGCAAATCGGCAACAGCTCGATGGCAGTGAGTTGGGTTTGTTGCTTTATCTATCTTTGCAGGCTCCCCCCATCCTTTCAGCATCCCACCCCCAGGGGCCCTGTATTGGTCATTCTGGGAAGTAGGAACTAGAGGGCCTATTGCTGATGTGTGAGGAAGGAGAGCCCAGGCACTACAGAGAACTGCTCTTCAGCATGTTGACAGCAGGGGCTCGCCAGACCTGTGACTTCTGCCTCTTCAACTGCTGTTGTGATTGGAGTGAAAGTCTCCATTCAATAGTTGCTATGCGTCTCCTCTCCTGTGACACTGACTGCAGTGCTGACGATGTAACAGCCTACTGTCCGCTGCCTCCCCAGTGGTCTTTCTTGGCCATCCCGGCCTGCCTGTCTCAGTTGTATCCTTGCTCAGAGGTGGATGATTCTAAGGAAGGCCGACAACCCTCCACAGTCTTATTATTCACCCCAGTAGCCCTGTCCTCCCCACTCGACGGGTGGCTTGTGAATTGCTGTGATGCTGGAAACGATGTCACTGGTATTTCAAATACCAGCAGGGTCACCCATGGTGAGCAGGGTTTAGCAGAGCTTCCAGCCCAACAAGCTACCCTGGTGGTTGGTGGTGTGGGTTTCGAGTTGGGCTGCTAACCACAAGGTCAGCAGTTTGAAATCATCGGCTGCACTTTCAAGCGTTACAGTCTGGGACACCCACAGGGACAGTTCTACTCTGTCCTCTGGGGAGGCGATGAGTTGGCGTCCACTCAATGGCAGTGAGTTTGGTTGGCGTCTGGTTTCCAGACGAACAAAAGACTGTGAAGAACGTACAGGCAGTCCATGTCTGAAGAACTCGCCCCTGAAAATCTTACGAAGCACAGCTGTACGCTGTCAGATGTCACGCTGGAAGATGAACCCTTTACCTTGACAGGCACACACACACACACACACACACACACACACACACTTACACACACCCCAACAGCTGGGGAAGAGCAGCCTAGTCAGAGAAGAGTAGACCTTAATGAAGTGGGAGGAGCAAAGCTTTAGAGACCTTCGACTGCTGACCATTCAAAAGGGGCTGAAAGGGCTGCAAACATCCATTAATCCTTGGGATGTAGAATATGCAAATGACTGATCTAGGATAATTGGAAGTTACCAATGTGAAATGAACACATAAAGATCGATAGCCTAGGCATTTAGGAGCTAAACTGGACTGGTGTTGGCCATTTTGAATCAGAGAACCATATGGCTTACTCTGCCCGGGATGACCAGTTCAAGAGGAATGGGGTCACCCCCATCGTCAAAAAGAACATTTCAAGATCTATCCTGAAGTACAATGCTGTCTGGGGCTGTGATAGCATCATATGCCCACGCCCACAAGGAAGTCCAGTTAATACAACTATTATTCAGATCTATGCACCAAGCAATAAAGCCAATGATGAAGACAACTGAAGAATTCCACCAACTTTTTCCCCCCACCAACTTCTTCACATTGAAATTGATCCAACATGCAATCAAGTTGCATCCATAATTACGGGAGATTGGAACGCAAAAGTCAGAAACAAGGAGGAAGAGAAATATCGCCTTGGTGCTAGAAACTAAGCTGGAGATCACCCGCTAGAACTTGGAAGACTACTTCATGGCAAACACCCTTTTCCCGCTGCAGTGCTACAAGCGCTCCTTGGAAGCACTCACTCAAAAGAATTTGGAGGACCGGCCAACCGACGGGAAGAGACCCCTGTTTGTGCCCTTTCCAAAGCAAATGTAAAGAAAGCCAAAATTCTCACAGCTGCTCCCGCCAAGATTTACAGCTCAGAAAATAGGGTGGCTCTGCATAGGGATTGATGCAAGGTAGTGGGTTTGGCGGGTTTATATCTCTCTGAGTTGTTATAAGACCAAAATGAGTTAACGCATGAAAGTGCTTAGAACAGTGCCTAGGACTTGTCCCTCCATAAATGTTAGCCAGGACTACTGTGTAACTAGGGAAATGTGGGACAATGCATTCGTTTCTGGTGCTTGGCTGACAGGGCTGATGGCATAGTATGTCTGGGATGCATGGAGTTCTCATCAAGGCCCTGGTGGTACGAATGATTAGCATGATTGGTGGCAAACCAAAATATTTGGTTCAAGTGGACCCAGGGGTGCCTCCGAAGAAAAGTTTGGCCATCCACTTCCCCCAAAGAGGCTACTGAAAATCTTAGGGCGCACAGTTCTACCCTGCTCCCTAATGACGGTGTGGCGCCCATGACCAGAGTGTTGCCTTTGAAGTCAGAAAGCCCAGCCATCCAACAGCTCTGACACATGCCCTCTGGGGAGCTTGGGTAAGTTACTTCATTCATCTGAGCTGCAGTTTCTTCATCAGTTAAATGAGGTAGTAATTTGTAGGATTGTGTGGTGGACGGTTTTAGCACAGTGCCCACAGTGGTGCCAAAACAGCTATTAGTTCATCTGCTTTGAAGCAGTGCTTTGAATAAGCTCAGCACTATTTCCATCTTAAAACATTTCCTGTGTTGTTAGCTTGTTAGGTGCTGTCCAGTCGGTTCTGGAAACACCGCCCAGTCCTGGACCACACTCACCACCGTGACATTTGCAGGAGACGGGACTGATGTTAGAGACCGGCAACTCGCCCACCTCAGTGGTGTCAACTTTAGAAGATGCCACTGCATGTTGGCACCCTGACAAGATAGCTCAAAACCTCCTCGAACGTCGCTTCAGCTGTGTCTCTAGGAGTCACTCTGGAATGGAGCCCACAGCCAGTGTCCTTTTGAATCCCTGAGGAGCTT